GACATTGTCTTCTCCGCACTGCTGTTACTGAGGTCTCCAGCGCCTTCTCCCTCCTGTGCAAAATGGCAACTCTTAAGGAAAAACTCATTGCACCAGTTGTGGAAGAAGAGGCAACAGTCCCAAACAATAAGATCACTGTAGTGGGTGTTGGACAAGTTGGTATGGCCTGTGCTATCAGCATTCTGGGAAAGTCTCTGGCTGATGAACTTGCTCTTGTGGATGTTTTGGAAGATAAGCTTAAAGGAGAAATGATGGATCTGCAGCATGGGAGCTTATTTCTTCAGACGCCTAAAATCGTGGCAGATAAAGAGTATTCTGTGACTGCCAATTCCAAGATTATAGTGGTAACTGCAGGAGTCCGTCAGCAAGAAGGGGAGAGTCGGCTCAATCTGGTGCAGAGAAATGTTAATGTCTTCAAATTCATTATTCCTCAGATCGTCAAGTACAGTCCTGATTGCATCATAATTGTGGTTTCCAACCCAGTGGACATTCTTATATATGTTACCTGGAAACTAAGTGGATTACCCAAACACCGCGTGATTGGAAGTGGATGTAATCTGGATTCTGCTAGATTTCGCTACCTTATGGCTGAAAAACTTGGCATTCATCCCAGCAGCTGCCATGGATGGATTTTGGGGAAACATGGTGACTCAAGTGTGGCTGTATGGAGTGGCGTGAATGTGGCAGGTGTTTCTCTCCAGGAATTGAATCCAGAAATGGGAACGGACAATGATAGTGAAAATTGGAAGGAAGTGCATAAGATGGTGGTTGAAAGTGCCTATGAAGTCATCAAGCTAAAAGGATATACCAACTGGGCTATTGGATTAAATGTGGCTGATCTTATTGAATCCATGTTGAAAAATCTATCCAGGATTCATCCCGTGTCAACAATGGTAAAGGGGATGTATGGCATCGAGAATGAAGTCTTCCTGAGCCTTCCGTGTATCCTCAATGCCCGAGGATTAACCAGCGTTATCAACCAGAAGCTAAAGGATGATGAAGTTGCTCAGCTCAAGAAAAGTGCGGATACCCTGTGGGACATCCAGAAGGACCTAAAAGACCTGTAACTACTGGGCTCTAGGCTATAGAAATTTAAAAACCACAATGTTATTAACTCTGAGCCTTTAGTTTTCATCTGTGTACATGGATCGCAGTTTGCTTTGATCTTCTTCAATATGTGAATTTCGGCTCATAGAATCAAAGCCTATGCTTGGTTTAATGCTTGCAATATGAGCTCTTGAACAAATAAAATTAACTATTGTAGTGTAAAAAAAAAAAAAAACTTAAATATGTGAATTCATTTTTATTGGCAAATAATTTTCCTTCTAGGAATTTATTCAAAGACAATAATCTCAGGTGTCCTCTAACATGTATAAAGATATTTACTACAAAGTTTTTGTAACATTGAAAAATTATAATCAATCCAAACCCTTACCCTAACAGTAAGGGTTACACTAAATGAAGAAATGAGTGTATAATGAAATACTGAGCAGCTTTGAAAGAGAGCTTTCAGAGACTATTTAATGAATTAAATGAATTATAAAAATATTATAAGCATAATAAGTGGAATGTAGGTTATACACACAGATAGATGTAAATTAATAACAATTTTTAAATGATATTAAATTGAAATTATATACACAATGCATTTAACAAAGGTTAGCCCTAGTTAAGAGATTAAGGATTATATTTATGAATTTCTTTATACTTTACTTTTCAAATTTGTACAATGAAAATGTCATGTTTTTCTATCCAGAAGAAAATATACTTAAAAAAAAATCATTTAAAATTATTTGGCCTAATTTTATATAGTTAATGAAATCAATCAATATTTATTCTTGTCATGTTTAATTTACAATTTTGAAAAATATATTGCCACATTTCCACTTTTTATTAACATTATTATGATTGTACCTTCTTTAGAATGAAATCCCAATGTTGCATATAAAGGTAATACTTTTGTTTTCTCATTACTGTCTTACACACTCACCATTAATCTCATATTAGAGAATACTTAGGCAAGTACTAAAATCAAAAAATGGATGTGTTATTCTTGTATCTAAGATTTCCTATAGTTAAAACCAATATGGAAATATTTATTCTGAACTCTTTCTTATTTTCTATGTATGCAGACACACATATATAGATATGTCTTATCTATGTTTATCAATCTATGGATCTATGTCTGTCCAAATATCATATCATGTATTTGTCTATCTAGCATCTGTCTATTTTTCTTCACACATTTTTCCAGTCAAAGCAATGTCAGCTCCCAGTTCATGACAATGGTCTTATCCCATGTGTTTATCACACTCTCTGGTCTTCAAATTTCCATTGCAGTAAAAACAAAGATGTACAGTAGGGAAGCATTTAATAATATCACTAAAAACCAGAGGAAGACAAAATAAGTTTTCATAAATCATAAGATTACCCTAGTGAGGAGATCAAAGCAGACGCCACAGTCTGGAATACTCATCTGAGAACGTTAGAATTTCTTTCTAGCAAAGAAGTCACAGATTTCTATGACAAATATGTGATATAGATCAGAAAACAAGTTGATTAATCCATGGATTATTCAATAATGTTGCAGAAAACACTTTCCCACTTCCTTCTCTATATTAAATATGTAGCAGAGTGGTTTATCTCCAAGCTATCACCAAAAGGATAATATATGCATTAATTCAGGTAGGACTCCCAGGGTATCCATGTCCATTTTAGCTAGAATCAGGGTGGAGTCAAGGGAAAAGTGACTCCCTTGCCTACTCCTCATCCATACATCCTAAAATGTAGCCTGCTTATCAATACACCATGCATGTACGTACGCAGACCTTTCAGTCATCCCTCTCTTTCAAGAGAGGATTTATCTGGGAAACAGACCTATATAAAGACTAATGCAAACCTGGCCAACAGCAACCTGGCCTTTCTTCCATAAATATTAATAGACAATCAATAATAAATTGGTAATGAAGATCTACCAAACATAAAATTGAAAGACTAAGATGAACAGATCAAACTTATAACTTTAGAAAAAAAAAAAAAAACCCAAACATTGGGGGATATTGAGAAGTTAAAGTTAGTATTCCTAGAGAAATTTGAGGAGACGAAGTATCCTTTGTTAAAAAAAAAATATATATATATATAGGCTACCAAAAACAACATCAATTCTGGGTAAAGGTCATGCTTTGTGAAAACAAAAATTTCAGTAGAATGCTTGCTGAAAAGGAGGATTCATAATTGCAGTTAACTTTCACTTTACCCAAAAGGTACACTTTACCAGAATGGGGCATAAGTGAACATTCTCAAGTACTAGAAATGTTCTATACCTTGATCTATGTGATGGTTACATGGGAATATATGTATGTGTAAAAATTCATGGAGTTCTATATCTTAGATTTTTCTACATCTTTTAGAATAATTTTTAAAATTAAAAAAGTACAAAATAAAACAAAATAAAACTTAGAAGATATAGAACAATCCATGTTGTTCAACATCAGTCTCAAGAGAGCAGCAAATAGTAGATAGGAAATAACAAACAAAGTAATAGCAGAAAATTCACGGAGAGTCATCAGGCTAAAAGTACAAAAGAAGATCAATTTAAAAGTTCCATTCTTGTGAAAGTTTAGAGCATTAATAATAGAAACAAGATTTTGTAAGCTTCCAAAAATAAGATAACTAACTAAAAAGAATGAAAATTAGATTGCCATTAAAATTTCCTTAGCCATAATTGACACTAGAACACAATCAATGCTTTCAGTGTGATGAGAGAAAATATTTTGAATCAAATTCTATTATCAGACAACCTGTTATCTAGTGTGATGGCAAACAAAACGTATTTCTAGATGTAAGAAAATTCAAAATTTAACTACTTTTTATCTTTCTTTTAAGTTACTTTGCATTAAGGTAGAGCAAAAAAAAAAAAAAAGTACTTCTAAAGCACACAGAGTACAAGACTGTTTTGCAAATAATGTGAATAAAAGCAAAGCGAATTTGTTTCTTCAGAAAGCATAAACAGCTGTATTATCCAAATAGGAATCAATTCAAAATATGGCATGAACTTGAACAACTGGTAGAATTGAAGCAGAGAATCTACTTGAGTTTGATGTGTTCTTCAAGTAGCAGAGGTTGAATGAGAGGTTTAAATTCTTCTCTAGATCAAACCATATTACTTGTTTTAAAATGAAAAATACTTACATAATTATAATTTGTTAAATTGTATCAGTTAATCATCTCACAAATGGGTCAATTACCAAAGCATATATAAAATGTAAGTACAATTATAGAACTTTATTTACACAAAGACAAGATCTACACATATATGTGTTAAATATTTTCAATGTAAAAGTAATGGAATAGCTTACAAAAATTGAGAGGTAAAGGGGGATTAGAGGTGAGGGAAAAGTTGGAGAGCTGACCCATTATCTTACATTGAAGGCAGTCAGTGCATCCCGGCTAACGTTCGAGTAACAAGAAATGGAGTTTCAGGTATATTCTATTTAAAGGTATAAATCCAACCAATAGAATTTCTTAGAAATAAAAATGTAACTGCTTGGAATTTGAGAATGGAGAAGAAAGAGAAAAGTTTACATAAATAAAATAAATTCCTCATTTTCAAATTAGAAAGTTAGACAACATTACATAAGTTGATGAAATAAAAAATGAGACATAATCATATTATTTAGAGATAAAAAGGAAAATATCAGAAACACTTTTTTTAAAAAAAGCAGGAAGTGATTATTCCCCAGAGAATGGCTTTACAGGGATAAAGCAAAAATTGTTTGAATTAGTTACCATGTGCATTTGTTAATTTTATAATAGTTATTATTATGATTAAAAAGCTGTGAAATAGAAGATATTATACCTCTCTCTTGAGCCAAAGAAACCAACAAACACCTGCTTAAGTAGAAACTGTTCTGTTACGTTCATTGGGCTTGAAAAATATGGACTGACTCTACACCTCTCAAACACCGTATATTTAGACACATTATTTTGATCTCTTTCAGGTAAATTGGAGACAATTTGCAATTCATTTTATTAATATTTCTTCTTCAAGGGACCATCTGACACACTGCAAACACTCAAAGTTACGGTAAAGATTGTGTCTTCTACTTTCTCTGCTTGGATGAATACTGAACACTTCATTGGGTGCTACCTATGGCTGCCTTGCTGAATGCATGGTTTTCAACAATATCAATCTTCCTGTTATCTGACACCAATTCTTCCATAATGAGCTTTGAGATGTGGGCATTACATGATACTTAATACCAGTAACCCATAACACAAAATTAATGTCTTATTATCTGCTGTTTTCCTAAATACTACTGTTTTAAAATCTCTTTCACTTATGTTAGGTAATATAAAAAATACAGTTAAGTATCATTTGTCCCTATGGTTGTCAAGAGTGTATATATCAGAATGAAAGTATATTCCACTGTGGCTATTGACCAGGGTATATAAAAAAAAAAATCATCTGTGTAACTTAAAAAAATACAGCTGCCAGGGCTTATCTAAGTAATGCTGAAATAAAAGTTTTAGGGAAGAGCATAAATATGTCTACTTTTAAAAAGCATAAAATATTAATGCAAACCCTCCACTTGATTATGTTAAATAAAAAACATCAGATGAGTACACATAAATTAATGACCAGGTTTTATTATTCAAAAACAGATAGAAAATTCAATTTAAAAAGTAGAAAAGTTTTCAGATTTTGTTTGGTTTGAAGACAATGAACGTAAAATACACAACTTTGAAGTTATCCATTTTAAAATTGGAAAGGATAAAAATAAATTCCATTCTATAGGCCAGGCACAGTGGCTCGTGCCTGTAATTCCAACATTTTCAGAGGCCAAGGAGGGTGAATCACTTGAGGGCAGGAGTTCAAGAACAATTTGGGCAACACAGTGAAACCCTGTCTCTACAAAAAGTACAAAAATTAGCCGGGCATGGAGCTTTGTGCCTGTAGTCCCAGCTGCTCGAGAGTAGCTAAGGTGGGAGGATCACCTGAGCCTGGGGAGGTTGAGTCTGCAGTGAGCCATGATCGCACCGCTGCACTGCAGCTTGGATGACAGAGTGAGACCCTGTCTCAAAATAAATAAATAATCAATAAATAATCAATTCAATAGAAACAACACACATTTTGAACTCCGAATCTCCATTATGTTCAATTAAAGAAAGAAGAGTTGGAATGAGGGGAAAAACTGAATGAAAAAAACAGATGTTGAAGGAGAGAAGGAAGATGATAAACCAAAAAGGGTAAGAAAAAGAGGGATAAGAGTATAATAAAAATACCCTCGATCCTTTAGCATACTCCCAGCTATAAGTGAAAAAAAAAAGTTCTTCAATGTTTTAATATTTACTTTTAATTCTCAACATTTTAAGCATCATTCATGTCACTTATATTACTTCATTCCAATTATAGCCTGGCAAAATCTTTATTTTTACTTTTATTTTTTGGTATCTCTTATTCTCTCCAAGTTCTTTTGAGGCATGCAGTGCTCCTCCTCAGAGTTTTGCTCATACTCATCCCTCATCCTCCAAACCTGTCAGCTCTAAAGCGTCCTCAGACAACCTGTTGTTAAGCAATAAGCAAGAAGGAAGAACTATTGATGCTGTAAAATAATCCAGAGTTACATTAGGTCTTTCCCAGCATTTATTTTAAAATGCTGATCTTCCAACTTTCAGGAATGTATAACAACATTCAAAAAGAAAGGACAAAGATACTAAAAGAAATAGATTTATTTTATCAGCCTAATAACTAAAAATTTGTATCACTTTATGAAACCCTACTTAGAAAACATGTTTTAAAAAATAAATTTTCATTTTATATGAGTTTGTATAGTTTCTTCTTAATTTGGAGCTTTTGTAAAATCTTTAATATACAGCTCAATTTCCATTTGATCCAATGTAAAATGAATAAAATCCTTCAGCAACAGTTATAGTATATATCTTGAAGTGTACTTCTATTCAGTACAGAACAATTCACACTGGTTTCAGTGGCTCACAGCTCAATAATCATCCCGGCCTTTCCCATTACAATTTGTGCTCCACATTTTAGAGCTGTTGACCCTGTGGAGATGACATAACCTCTCTGAGCCTAAGATTCCTAGTTAGAAAAATTGAGTTAATAATCATGCTCTGAAGAGTGGTTTAGATTGTGATGGTTAACTGTATATGAAGTGCTTAACAGGAAGAGTTTTCCACATAATGAACATGTATACATGGAGCTTGTAAGATTATTAACTTGTCTCATCCTTTTATTTTAATTCATTGCTTTGGATAATTTCATCATGCTTCCATAATTAAAAATATATTAATTATATTAAATGAGGATATTTCCATTTATAGGAATGTATTAGCCTTTTAAACATGAAACATTTCATATGTGCATGTAATATTAAACAGAGATTTAGTTTAGAGTAGTGAGTCAAGGACAAGTCCAGGAGCTAGAAAGCCTGGGTTTTGAATGTTGGATTCACCAATTACTGGCTAAGTGATCTTGGACATCGCAGTTAAGCAACTTTTCTGATTCTAAAAATGTTGAGGCATTTAGGACATTAGTTATTTTGTAAAATGTAATTTTAAACAATACAAAAGTATCTCTAGAATGAATATTGATTGCTCAAAGGATTGGGTGCTGCAGAAATTCCTTTCTTAAGAAAATTCCCACCATATCACCTTTGTTGTTTTGAACTTTATATGAAGACTTGCAAAATATTTTTTAATTAGACAAAGTTATGTGGCTCAGGAACTATCATTAAGACTTTTTTCTTTTTTATTCATTGAATATTGCTGAACAGGGTCAAAAGCAAATAAATTCCAACACTTGATTTATCTTCTGAGAAACATTTAAATATCATTAATATAGTCCCTGAACAGAACACAAGAATGATTCTTTCCTTCAAACAAAGAAATATTACAATCTCTCTAGAGTTTTAGAGACTCTATGTGCCTGGTATGGCTCTGAACATACTACTTGGAAAACAGTATTCTTGAAGTCAAATACTGGAAGCAGACATCAGGAAAATTATTTGGGGGACTTCCTTTCATCCCCAAGTTTCTATGAAAACCCTTCACATAGGGAAAATCTATAGGATGAGGTGGGAAGCGCGTTTCCCCTAGGTGTTCACAGTAAAAATTGTAAATCCCCTAAAAATCACTGAAGGAAACACCAACACTAATTTTTACCTAATAACTAAAAGGGAAAAATGTGAGTTATGCCCATTATATTATATTAGACTGGAAAAGGTCTCAGTGGCCTCTATTACCTTCTTGGCCACATAACAGGTTCTAAATACTCTAAACTGCAGTTCACGAATGATTTATTAGTTTCAGAGTGCCAGCTCTATTGTGGCTCGGGTAGAGTATGTGCATATTATGTCCATATAATTTTGTAATGTGTTGTGCTCTTGTAATAATTAATGTTTATCTTATATATGAAAGCTATGTTTATTTAAGAGAATAAGTTATTCTCTTAAAAATATCTGCCAGATAATTCCTTTAAAGAGTAGGTTTCCTTTGATAACTTTTGACATTTCTTGTAGAAAGCAAGTAGTGTTTAATTTTTTGTTTCTTTAATCTTGATTAGAGAGACTATGATATGATATTTTCTTATTTCAAGGAGCAGGAAAATACTACACGCCACACGTTCACAACTCTATAATAATTTCAGGCTGTGTTTTGCATTCCATCACTGTGCCTCTTACCTGTAAATAACTTGTATCCTATATCGATAAAATTACAAAAATTAGCCAGGCATGCTGACGGGTGCTTGCAATCTCAGCTACTCAGGAGGCCGAAACAGGAGAATTACTTGAACTCAGGAGGCGAAGGTTGCAGTGAGCCAAGATCGTGCCACTGTACTCCAGCCTGAGCCACAGAGCGGGACTCAATCTCAAAATAAATTTATTTATTTATTTTAGATTGGTCCAATTAATCATTTTGAAGATCTGCCAAAATCTGAATGAGATTGAGTCAGTATAAATTATTTAAGACAGTGGACAAATGTAAAGATAAATAAAAAATACATTTTTATTGATGCTAACTGTTGCCAAATGAAACACTGCTTTGAAAATGTCACTTCTCTAGAAATACATAATGATTTTCTCCTGCAGGTAAAATTTTGACTGAAGTACCATTCATTTTTAAAGCATTCTCAAGGCACCATAGAATCAGAACATGAGAACCTCAAAAGTATCTTTAAATCATAGTTAACATCAACAACGATAACTCATATTGTTAATGTGTTCCACTGATATTACGTGATGAGAATGGCATTTTAAATATGTGATCTTCCTTCCCAAAACTTATAGCCTTAATCTAATCATGAGAAAAATATCAGACAAATCCCAATTCAAGAACATTCTACAAAATACCTAACCTATACTCATTCAAATTATCGACATCATCAAAAACAAGGAAAGCCTGAGAAATTGCCACAGCCTAGAGGTGCCTAAGGTGATGTGATAGTATGACGGTTAAATGTAATGTGGTAGCCTGGGTGAGATCTTGAAAGAGAAAAAGGAAATTAGTGAAAAACTAAGGAACTCTGAATAGGGTAAGGGCATTTGTTAATGAAAATGATGTATCATATGGTTTTATTAATTGTGAAAAATGCACTATACTAGCATAAGTTGTTAATAATAGGGGAAACTGGATGCAGGGTATATTGAAACTCTCCTTACTATCTGCTCCATTTTTCCATAAATCTATTCCAAGACAAAAGTTTATTTAAACAAAAGGAAATCATAGGTGTAGAATTATTCTAATACTAAATAAAGGTAATAATATCTCAGCGAATTTGAATTTATCAAGTAAATGCATTGCCATTATCTGTATTATCTATAATATACCTAAGTGATAATAGACTTATAAATTTGAAACACTTTTAATTAAAATGAATTACAATTAATACATTAAAAATATAGTTTACACAGTACAAAATAACATTGCTTTGATCAATAGGAGATCTATTAGAAATGCCGATCAGTTTTCTTAAAGTAATCATGTTTGGGAGGATAATTTTCTATAAATGCACTCTCCTGGGTCAGGAGTGAGCTTACAACTTATAAACATAGAACTAACCTGGAGTCACAATGTCTGAGTCCTAATTATACTTGAGAGTCATTATGTCTTCTTATAATAGGCTAAAAAAAAATACACTTATGAGGGATTCTGTGTGTATTTTCTTTTAGAATAAGTACAATTTAACTCCCTCGACCGTGGTAAGCATACTAAATATCTCTTAAGTTGTTAAATTGAAGCTTGATTACATATCCATCTTCATGATGCTGTTAAGGTACAAAAGGCTGCCTTTTGATTTCTGTGTTACTTTAGGAACTATGAGGTAACATAGAGATAAAAGAAATGTATTTGACTCTGAAGTTCTCATTTTACTGAGCTCTGAACACCTGATAACATCAGAGCAAGACAAAAATACAGCTCCACTCTGGCTGACAAGGATACACTTAACCCTGGCTTATAACTACAAAAACCCCTTTTGTCAATAATATTTTAAATTACTCTCCTATGTTCAGTAATATCACCTTCATAACTTATCTATTCATAACATAAGAAATCCATGATAAAAGAGAAATATGTCATCAGGAGAGATGAGAGAGGCAATGTTCCCTTCCAGTATGAACTCTTATAGGCCCTCTCCCATGAAAACAGAAAAATTTCCAGATGGATCTGGAAACTCTGTTCTATGTCTTGGCACCAAGAAAATATTGGTGTCCTTCCTACACCTAGCCTCAGATTTAATAAGTGAAATATCAAGATAATGAAAAATATATATGTCAGTAACAAGATAAAGCTGAAACATTCAAAGACAATAAGAAGTGCAATTTAGTCACTGAATAGCTCTACAGTTTAGATAAGAAAGTCAAAGGTGTGAAACGATTGAATCTGGAGAATATGGGGGAAAATAATACTTAAACCAAGTCTATATCCATTCCTATCTGCTCCTTGAATTATAACATAAGGGCATCTCAGTAGTTTCTCATTTTACTAATCTAAATACCTGATAACATCTTTGGAGGAAGGAAATAGACAGCTCTACCCTAGCTGTCAGGGTTACACTTATAAATTTGATTCAATGCTTGGCAAGATGTCTATAGCATTTATGTTCCAAGCCAGGATTTTTTGTCAAGAATAAATGCTACACAATACAGAAAATACCAAGACAGCAGGAATGACCTCGGACTGTTCTAGGCAAGCTTAGATATATGATGATCTTACCTTTGAGAGATCCTTGGAGAAATTGCCAAATAGGACCCAAGGTCCCGGCACCACCTCATAATACTTTTCCTTTTTTATGAGAGTATATTAGACTAACCATCCTAGTGAATATTCTTTATCAAAGTAAGCCATAGTTATTGTGAGCATTTCTGAAAGATTTTGCGGCTGCACAGCAGTGCTATAGTAAGCAGAATTCATACATTAATCACTAGTGTTTGGAAATCCTGCACCTTGCTTAAATAGCATCCTAATAAGTCTTGGAGCTTGAGAATATTCAGATAACTAAAGATTCTTGACTTCAGGCTGAAGACTGGGACCAGTATGGGTTATCTTCAAATATTGTTTAGCATTGCATTTAATATTCAATGAAAGGTCTGTGAAACCCCTTTACAAAATTTTCATTTTCTGTCTTGAGAATTTCTGCCTTATTTTGATAAAAATAAACACAATATTTAATATTCTGTTTATACCACAGAGGGAGGCAGCTGTAACATGGGCAGAAAGTTTGAGTTTATAATTTTTGAAAGGTACAAATTTTCTTATAAACATAAGGTCTCACTCTGTCACCCAGGCTGCAGTGCAGTACTGCGATCACGGCTCACTGCAACATCGTCCTCGTGCACTCAAGCGACCTCCCACATTCCCGAGTAGCTGGGACTACAAGTGCGTGCCACCATGCTGGGTTAATTTTTTAAAACATTTTTTGTAGAGACAAGGTCTCACTATGTTGTCCAGGCTGGTCTTGAACTCCTGGGCTCAAGTGATCTGCCCTCCTTGGCCTCCCAAAGTGCCGGGGTGACAGGCGTCAACCACTGTACCTGGCACAGTTTTTAAAATTGCCAACATTCTACTTATGTTGCTTTATCTTACTCTTCCCCTAGTCTAGATTCAGTAAAAACAATGGTTTTTAGGGATTTCAGTAATTACCATATTATTTGTTTTGTTACCTGAAATTTAAAAATTTAACCAAATCTATACACTTAAGTAGAGTAAAAACACTGGAATTGAGCCAGCAATTATGAATCTGTACAATCCTCTCTTTCCTCACTATACCTCAATTTGCTTTTAACTTTATAATATAGTTTTTTTTTTACAATCTTATTAGAAATAAAGTCAAATATAATATAATCTTATCAATTGACTGCCTATCTTCACTATGAATTTGTCCAGGCCATTTCACTAAAAGACTTGCATGAGCCAGGATAACTGTCCCCAGACCTCTAGCCCTGATAACTCTTAGATATCCTTCATACCTCATGGATACTAAGGAGCTTTCTCTAACAAGGGGCTAGGTACACTCATCTGGGTCACAATTTAACTATTGTCCATAAATACACAGCTTCATTTAACTAATTAGTATAATTTTATGTATCTGGGAACTTTTAAGAATATGAAATCCTACCGGCAGTGTATCTTTAGCCTGTAACATTGCTTGGAATAAAGCAGACCTGTCATTTGGTTTTGTAGCCTTTGTAGTCCCTGACACCCTAGAACATCAGAGAGAGTGAAAATATTATTCTAGAGTGAAGGAATTCTGTGTTTTCATCCCAGTATTGGTTACATGGTTTGTTTCATTTGTGAAGAATTTATCAAACTATATTTTTAGTATATATGCATTTTTTTAACTTTTATTTTAAGTTCAGGGGTACAAGTGCAGTTTTGTTACATAGGTAAACTTGTGTCATGAGGGTTTGTTTCACAGTTTATTTCATCACCCAGGTATTAGGCCTAGTACTCATTGGTTATTTTTCCTTATCTTCTGCCTCCTCCCACCCTCTACCCTCTTTGAAAGGCTCCAGTGTGTGTTGTTCCCCTCTATGTGTCTCACTTACAAGTGAGAACATGATATATGCATTTTTATTTAAGTATGTTATCCTTAATGTAAAATTAAAAAGATGAATGTAAAATGTCTTTAAAAACTTCTTTTTCCGAAAACTCAAGTTAAGAGAATTAATCATTGTACTAAAATATACACTAAATGAAATATTTAGGCAGAAGGAAAAGATCCTAAACAAATAGAATAGAGATGCAGCAAGAAATGAAGAATATCAGAATAGGCATCTGTTTGCATATAAGGAAAAATGAACCCTACAAAGGTGAAAAAGGACTACACTATGCAATAAGGATTATGTTTTATGGTTCTTAAAACTATATAGGATAAAATGCATTAAGTCCAATTTTTATTTTCTTGAATCCCTTACCATTATTTGTATATGAAAACTATATTTCCATTAATCTTATTTTGACTTTCAATTATTTTAGTCTACAACATTTGAGTGGTTTTAATTGCTAAAGTAATTGCTCTCAGGTTTAGATAAATTTTTTTCTCTGTTGTGTAGAAAACACTGTCTATGAATTCCTTTAATGTACAATATAGTATAAAATTATTTTTTACAAAAGTAGCCTTATTTTGAAAGACCCTATAATAACTGAAAATTAGAAAGTGATCTTAAGTGACCCGCCATCAGTTAAATTGATTATCTGCATCATTATTATTTGTATTAGTTGTTTAAAATGCCATCATAATAGCATGCTATCAGAATTAACAGAATACATTTTGGAAATTTTTCTTTATTAAACTACAAAAGATTAAAGGAAACAATGCCTAAATATAATAAGTTCCTTACTGTTCAAATTACCAAAACAAAATAAAGGTAATCTTGATTTTAAGGTTTACCCCCGTAGCAAGTTATACAAATAATGGTCACATGTGTGAAATATTATACTGATATCTCTTTAATATGTTCATTTCATTTTACTTGCTCTTCAATAGATATTTTAAAATACATTTTATTGTGTATATTTAAGGTATACAACATGATGTTATTGGATACATATAGATAGTAAAAAAGGTTACCACAGTAAAGAAAATTAACATATCTACCATCTCACATTGTTACCCATTTTTGTTGTTTGTTGTTGCGGGGGAGGGGGGGGGTTGTTGTTGTTTGGAGGTAAGAGCAACAAATATTTTTAAGGTGCCAGGTGCTGGGGACGCAATACAAACTAGACGGCCTTGATCCTTGTCCTCTAGGGCTTACAGTCTGTTGGGGAAAACCAGCAGGTAAACAATTACAATGCACCAACTATGTGAGAGCAATGAGAACACACAGAAAAGGCACCTAACTAGGACTTGGAAGAAAGATTTTGGTCAGGGAGGGAAGATGAGTAGAAATTTGCTGGTCTGTACTATGAGAGATATCTCCTACAATTCCTCCCTCTCATGTTAATAGTTTGCTATGATCCAGGAGCTGTCTCCTTCATTTTTGACTTTGTCATCAAGTCTGATTGTCCTCACTTCCTCTCAACTTTTCCAAACAACAACAACAACAGAAAATCATATTTGGCTTTGTCCTTCCATGGAATTTGAAATATATAGCTTCATAAACTCTCTAAATTTTCTATTCCTGTATTTGTATAATCTTCAAACTATTCTTATTTAAAATTTAAAAGTATGCACAAAGCTTATTTTCCTTCTCAATGTTAAATCATAACTTACTTGTATTGTGGATTATAGCAACGAAAGTTTCTGCATTCTAGATTTTTTTAACCTCAAGTTCAGGGTTAAATTCCCAGTTCATGGCCCATTGTTGTCATTGGCCATACAAAGCCTCCTTTTATTAATATTTTTTCTCCATTGCCCCCATATCCCATTCTCTGCCACTCTACCTGTTTCTCATTCCCATGCTTAGCAACCATTATAATGTGTTTATGAACATCTTTGTTTTCTTGAAAATTGAATATTGTACACATGAATCTCTAATTTACATAAATTTTCTCATTGTTTGTTTTTATTTACTAAGCACTATGATTTAAAGTACTTATAGCATTCATGTTGTTGTAACTACATCTAATCTGTACTTCTAACTACTGCATAATATTCCAATGTATATTACCAGACATTTTACCTATTTGCTCTCTTAGTGATAACACCTGGCAATCTAGCAGTCCCCAACCTTCTTGGCACCAAGGACTGGTTTCATGGAAGACAATTTTTCCTGGGCAGTAGGTAGGTTTTGGGACAAAACTATTCCACTTCAGATGATCAGCCATTAGTTAGATTCTCCTAAGGAGTGTGCAACTTAGATCCCTCACATGTGCAGTTCACAATAGAGCTTGCACTTCTCTGAGAATCTAATGCCAAGGCTGATCTGACAGGAGGCAGAGCTCAGGTGGTAATGTTCACTGGGCTGCTGCTCACCTCCTGCTGTGCGGCCTGGTTCCTAACAGGCCATAGACCAGTATCTGTCAGTGGCCCAGGGGTTGGGAATCCCTGATCTAACCCACTGTGGCCTAAAAACAGATCCAGGTTTTATGGACCTGTGGCTTATACAACTGGGGAGGGAGGTTGAGAAAAAATGCAAAATACAAGTACAAATTAGGTACAAAAGACAAATTAAGAGTGAATGTTTATTAAAAGTGAGGACAAAAATTAAATAAGTTGCCTCTGTATTAAAAATAACCAATACAATAAATTCCAAAAATTTTATTAATTTACTCCTTAACACATTTCTTTAGGATGTTCCCTTCATTTTTGGCTTCATTCTCTTTGATCTTCCCTTTACATTGTATCAGTTTTGTAATGGAGAAAATAGAAACATTTAGTCTTTCTTTTCCACAACTGATTATAGCGTGTGTATGTTCATTACTAATAGTTGAGCAAATTTCCCTGAGTTTTACAACTTGTTTTTGGTAATGGCATGTAAATTTTCAGTATTACTGTCAAATTTGGGAACACCTCCATCAAGTTTCTTTCATATATGAGTTGTAAGATATCAGAGCCTGTACAGCGTCCTTATTCAGAAGCTAATCTCACATACTCTAAATCGATAACACCCAACCACTGTGTTATCGACATCCTCAATGTAGTGATGTATGAAGAGTTCGTTATCTCAACGTATTTGGCCATTTTATGGTAAATGAGCAAGACATCCTAACATTTTTCCTCAATATATTCATATGATTCACTCTTCTTTATACACTGGATGATTACACTATCCAATAATTTATTTAATAGTGCTATAAGAGATGCACATCTTCTTCTTTGAGAAATAATACTTTCTACTTTTGTTTCTGGTATGACAAAACTCTGTTATAGTTCCTTGTTCAATGTTAATATAATTTCTGTTGATTTTATTGCTCATCCTTGTGACTTTTGTTTCATATTCCACTGATTTTCCATCACTACTTTAATACAAAAAGTCAAAAATGACAAAGAATGTTGTATGATATAATTTAAATTATATGTCTACTTTTTTTTTCTATCCAACATCCAATCTTTCTTCTTATCTAGGATGAACAGGTATTTCCCATTGTGTGTAGTGGTGATGGAAGTCAGAGCCCTGACACTTGCCGTGGAAAGCTAAAGTGACTAAAGTGACTGTATTTCCATTCAACTCCTGTTATTGTGGTGAGGCCACCATCTCCTAAGCTTATTCAGATGGATTCTCTTGCCCTTTACTTTGAACTTGGTGAAAGATGCCAAATAAAGGAAGGTTTTATTGAAATTCCCTTGTGCTGGGTCTATGTACAGCTATGGTAGAGTCCTGTGTGGCAGCAGTGACCAGTAGTTCTAGCCAGCTGGGTCTGCCAAATAGCCTCCAGATTTCCCTTTTGTCAGCTCATTTTCCTATACAGCTGCTCTAGCTTCCCAAAGCCTTCCAATGAATGCATGAGCACCCAACAACTTCTAATAAATCTCCATTTGGTTGGGACAGCCAGTGTTTGTTTCTCTTGTTTGTAATCAATATCCTTGCTTAATATGAAAAATTACTTTTGACTCACTTTGTGGGAACTAGGTTATGCTCAAAACAAGCTCCTTTTGGCTATGGCAGTTTTGCTAAGTGATTAAAGCATTTCTTCCGAATTACCTGAAAATTAATCACTTGACCTCAGAAGTAGTAATTTAAAAGAAACATAATGCAGTCTGTAAATGCAGAATTCATTTCAATATTATTCCTATCATATTACTTCTTATATTATAAAATAGATATGATTTTGCTCATTATCTTTATTAATAATATTTCTGCAATATCCACAGTCAAAAACTTTTGTTATGGACTGAGTCCATCCTTAAAATTCACTTTAAATATACATACTGCTTTTATATCTTCTACACTATTATTCTCAGTTTTTAAAAATGAAATCACAGATGTAAATATAACAAAACCAAGCCCATTATTTAATCTTGCAGGACCATAAGCCTTCAATAAGCAACTTGATGATGCTAACTTGCTACAATAAAACAAACTTTCAATACTCTAAAATATTTTAAAATTAAATTTTCTTTTTTTATTACATTTCAAAATATTTTTGTCCTCAAGAAAATATGGCAAATGCAATAATATATTTATTTTAAGAAATATAAATAGTATAATAAAGTGATTAAATAATAATTGTAAGAATGCTATAATATTTTATCTTGGTCTAAACCAGTGGTCCTCAACAAGATAATTCTTCCTTACCTCCAGGTGGAGTTACCAGAGTTAGCAAAAAGAATACACAGTCAGTTAAATTTGCATTATTTATAATGGTCTATATGCATTCTGAGATAAATGGAAACATATTTACAGAACAGTCTTAATCTTAACATTTACTCATTGTTTATCTAAAATAAATGATCAGCACGTAAATTACAGATTTCTTCTCTGAAAATTTCCTCGATGATTGGCTTTCATTAACAGCTCCTTGTTTTGCAGAGTTGGCTTATAAAATTCCTTATAGTTAGAGTCTATGTTCCACCTACAATGTACCATCTCTTCCATAGTGGTCACACTCAACTTTTCTCTTTACTCCTTTGAACATTCATTAATGAGAATGTTGTGAAGTCCAACTTATAAGTCCAGCTTACTGAACATGTTCAATATTAGCCTTAAAAGCTGGACTTCTGAACATGTATTGACGTAGAGTTAACTCTGGGACTTGCTCTTTTGCTAAAGAACACAATACCATATTTCATGACATAACTTGTTTTTCTTTTTTATTTTTCAGGATTAGATTGCATATTTTGATCTACAACTTTTAAAAATGTTTTCCACTGACAAAAAAGAACGTTGCAATGAATTTTTATTCCCTTCCTTGAGTACATATAATTTCTCCTGTTTCATTAAAGGATCAAATTCTTCAAGGGTAAAATCCGTTTCAAAATATACTCATGACAAACTCATCCTTTTTTATGGCTGCATAGTGTTCCATGGTGTATATGTGCCACATTTTCTTAATCCAGTCTGTCACTGATGGACCTTTGGGTTGATTCCAAGTCTTTGCTATTGTGAATAGTGCCACAATGAACATACGTGTGCATGTGTCTTTATAGCAGCATGATTTCTAATCCTTTGGGTATATACCCAGTAATGGGATGGCTGGGTCATATGGTACTTCTAGTTCTAGATCCTTGAGGAATCGCCATACTGTTTTCCATAATGGTTGAACTAGTTTACAATCCCACCAACAGTGTAAAAGTGTTCCTGTTTGTGTCCTTTGTAGGGACATGGATGCAGCTAGAAACCATCATTCTCAGCAAACTATCGCAAGAACAGAAAACCAAACACCGCACGTTCTCACTCATAGGTAGGAACTGAATAATGAGATCACTTGGACTCGGGAAGGGGAACATCACACACCGGGGCCTGTCATGGGGAGGGGGGAGGGGGGAGGAATTGCATTGGGAGTTATACCCGATGTAAAGGACGAGTTGATGGGTGCTGACGAGTTGAAGGGTGTAGCACACCAACATGGCACAAGTATACATATGTAACAAACGTGAACATTATGCACATGTACCCTAGAACTTAAAGTATAATAATAATAATAAAAACAAAACAAAACAAAAACAAAATATACTCATGACAAATGTAAAAATAATTATCCACTTCAATATTGATTTTTTCCCTGTACCTAAGTTGTGTTGTTTCTCTTAAAACAGCCTTGGCATATAAGGGATAAACTTTTCATTCATTTTATCTTTAGTACATTCAACAACTCTTTGTAAGCAATGGAGGGCTTCAATTAACATTGTTTACTCTTCTTTCAAATTGCATAATCCTATTGCCAAAAGATATGGAATGCTATGAGCAAGAAATAAGTAGTCTTTCCTCAATGGGTTATTTTAAAAGTCAGAAAGAATTTGTGAGACCTTTTCTTTAGAATTAAAGTATGATTTCAGTGCTTTAAATCAACTAAGAATTCTCTCAACTGCATATATTAAAGAGAGTCAATGAATTTTAAAATGTGAGAGAACTGAAAAATAATAAATGCCAACAAAATTACAAAAATTCTTTATTAGTTGAGTCTGAACAGAATAAATGCTGAAATAGAATAATTTCTTGACAATTTCTTTACTGACAATTACTTTACTTTGCTGATATCAGATGCTGTTTGAGCAGCATCATGTAGAATATGGCAGAAGAGCCAACACTGTTCATAGTCCCATTTATACTTTGGTTTAACTTTGAATAAATATCACACCTTTATGCAAATATCCACCAAATTTATATTTGTATTACCTCCACAAAATAAGTATAATTTTTATGACTACGAACTCAATCAGAGAGTCTCTGCAACAATTTCCAGTTATTTCTGAAGACTCATCTGGAAGGCATGTTACAACAGCCTTGTAAGCAAGTCTTTTATGAGAAAATTATTATACGAGTAAAGGAATTTTTCCCCTAAACTGTGATTACTTGCATTCGTGGCTATGCCATAAAAAAAAATTAAAACATTTGAGCTGTGGTAGTCTCTGTAACAGTAAAAAGAGTTATTCTAATTTTTATTATGGCAGTAGATTTTGTCCTATAGCACTAGAAAATTGACTTACAGTTTTGCATTAAAAGATACTTGTAGCACAATTCAAATTCAGTCATGTGAGCTTAAAACCTTGTATGATATACAAAGTGGAAGACAACTTCTGCTGTAATTATTTTATCTTCTTCATCTGAATTTCTTTCAATAAAATGTTATTTTATTACTTTCTTTGGTACAAGTTGAGGAAATCATATATCTATTTGCTTAGCTATTAGTATTTGCTGGCTTACATCCAAGTTTGCACCATTTTCAATATTAACTAAACAATTGTATTCTGCACAAAGAGCTTCAAAAGGAGCGGTTACCAAATGAATAAAACTGACATGATTGGTGGTGGTGGGGGGGGGTGCGGTATGGAAACATATTGAGGTACAGGTATGTGGTTAAGTTTGAGAGAGAATGAAAGGCTGGAAGTGGTAGTTGAACTTGGGATTCCAGAAGTGAGATGAGCATCCAAGATTACTTTCAGGTATCTGACTTGGCCAGCCAAGTTAATACTGCTGTGATTTCTTATGAGAGGAAACTAGGAGGATGAGGCTTAAAGAACAGGGAAGAAAAATGATAAATCCAATTTTGGACATCCTGTGTTTGAGATGCCTGGGAGACACAAAGTAGACAGGTCCAATAAGTAGCTAACCATGTTAGTCTGGAACTCAAAATGGGAGGCTGGGTTGGAAATAGTAACTTTGGAGACAACAGCATACAAAGAGTAATTTGACATTGACCAGAAAAATTCCTAGTCCCAAGAGGCTAATGGTTTTTAGAAAGACCTGTAGATAAATGATCATAGTACAAAACATGGCAGAATAGCTGAAATGGAAGTATTTTAAAAGTATCTTGGAAACACAAGGGGTTAGAAGTTGGTTTGAGCTGGTATAGGAAAGAAGGAAAGTTGAGCTGGAATTCAGCAGATGAATATGGTAGTATTTCTAAAGGCTGAACAGTACAAGCCAGGCTACCTTCTTTTTAATCCAGACTCCAACACTGAAAAGGTAGGTCACCTTGGTTAAGTTACTTAACTGTATATTTCAGTTTACTCATTGGTAAAATGAATGAAAATGATATTGAATATTTAAATGTGTTAATGCATATAAACACTCTAGAATCATACTTGGACCAATAAGAACTCAATACGTACCTCTATTATTGTTATTATGATTATTAGGCAGGGGGGAATAAAATAAACTGACACACAAATGCTTCAAAGTATACACAGCAAGTTAAGGAAATAAGAAGAGGTCTATGGAGTACTTGGCAGCACTTTTCCCAGGATACAAGAGAGAAACCAGAGCTTTCCAACGGAGGAGTAGTGCCAGGCATTCTCCTTGTATGGGAGTCTTTTCAGCAGTTTTGCAGCAATCCATGCAGCAAAGCATATCTATCCAAATACAAGGAGATGAGGTCCACATTGAGCAGTTGTGGGAGTTGCCCTGCTTAAAAAAACGCTTGTGTCACATGAACCCATATCAATTGTAACAACTCCAACTCTGTATGAAACGGACATGCCCACTTAAAGGAGTCACCGCATTAAGGGGGTTCCAAAGTAAGATGACAACATCAGCATTTATTTAGGGCTTATTTTTTTTCCTCTTTCAGTGCTCCTTATATTAAAATTATACAAGATATTACTATTACTATCTGTCTGATGCCCATGTGTACAAAAACAGTTCTATACTTATGCTATTTGTTGGCTCCTCCTCTCTTCTAACTTTTATTTGTTTATTAAACTTTTATTGTGAGCTAATTATAGGAAAGGAGTAAAAACAGTACTAAATATTCCCTTATACTCCCTGCCCCCTTCCCATAATGTTAACAATTATATAACCATAGTATAGTTATCAAGAACAGAAAATTAACACCAGTATGATATTACTATCTGAATTGCACATCTTACTTAAAGTTCACCATTTTTTATTGCATTTAGTTGTTATACCTCATTGGTCTCTTTTTATCTGCAAAGATCTTCACTTTTTCTTTTCTTTCATGACCTGACAATTTGGCAGAATACAAATCAGTTATTTTGTAGAATGTGTCTCAACTTGCGTTCATTGAATTTTTCAATTCACAAATAAGGAAACTAAAGTGGTATCTAGAGAGTCAGATACTTTGCTCAAGATAACACAGCTGAGAGCTCTTACTCTCCAGGCCAGTATAGGAAAAAAGATAACATTAGAGGAAGGATGTCTGTGTTTTAAAACTTCAAAATGCAGAAATATATGGCTTAGGGTATGTACCTGTCACAAAGGTCTTGGCATCTGAATTTTTATTGATGACTCATTCGGCTTTATTCAGCAGACTTGAGTTTAGAAATTCAATCAGTGAGTAGTTCATATGGTAAACTGTCCTTGTAATTAAATAAAACAATCCCCAGAAAGTTAATTGAAAAATGCCTGCCCATCAGGAACACCTAGAAGCCACGCTTTGTTGGTCTGTTTAAGCCAAATTTCTGGCACACTGCTCTTTGGAAATCAAATTTAAAATGACAGGCAAGTTGGTCTTAACTTCCTTAAAGGCACAAACAAGTAATAGCTGACTCTCTGATATATAATGTATCACAGAAAAGGTTGATTTCACATGCAGTGGCCTTTTATCAACAGCAACATAATTTGGGAATTTCTAAATGTTTAATTTAGATCTTACTTTAAGATATGAAAAAATAGGAGGAGGGAGGGGAAGTTAAATGCCTGGGGAAAGACATGCATGTTCTTAGAATTTTGTTAAAATGTAACGAGTCCCTATGTCCTAGTATTTTTATAGGCTCCCTCTGTTAACTGTAATGAATTTATGAAAGTGGATGAGAAGGTGTTTTAATCTACCTTTCACCCCAATAAATGATATCAAGTCTCTATATTTAAATTAACAAAAAATTGAGTTCCTGGCACCTAAACAAGTGCTTGCTCAAAAAGTATTTGTTAATTACTTGCAAATGTACCACTTCAAGGAAGAGGGTTAATAGTATAAATGTTACCTTAAAATCAGACTTTTAAATTAAATAACTTCTATGTAATAATATGGTAGAAAATAAAAGAGATGAGAACCTTAGTGTTGAATATGGAATTTCTTCTGACGTTTCTCTTTGAAATTTAATTATACTACCTAGAGAGGTAGCATATTGTAGGAAATTATAGGTCCACACATTGGCTTTACCACTCTTGTGTGAACTTGAGTAAATGATTTAACCTCAGGAACTGTATCTCCTATTTCCCTGGTGAGGAAGTTACACGGGTTGTCTGTTAGAAAGAGGGGATGAGGTAAGGCAGGACAAGCACCTGGCTAGGGTTTACTCTACAGTATTACAGCTTGAAAACAAAGAAAAGAGAAAACAAATGGGAAACCAGTCTCCTTAATGAAAATGAGTGAAGACAAAATCCCCAAATCACACACCTTGGGAAGAATGTACTCAGAAATTTTATAATTTATAATTATCTGAGAAATATAATCTATAATTTATATTGACTATTTGACTTGGGTTTTCTTTCAAAACATGCAATTTTAACATTGACATATCTATTATTTGAAGGTCAAATACATCTGCATTTTTACCAAATAGTGTTTCCACACTGATTGCAAAACTACTTGTCACTAAGTGTTACTTTCTCAACTACTGCTACTGATTCTTGGTTTTTGAATTTTTTAAAACCCAGGCTTCTAATCTTTGAGACTTAGTCCTCTAATCATATCACAAAGTTCTTTCTTTTCTTTCTTTCTTTCTTTTTTTCTCTCTTTCTTTCTTTCTTTCTTTT